AGGACATTGGCAAGGAAGCTGCTTTATTTACCCCAGCTCCTTGTTAAAGATAAATACACCTCCTACAGTTTTGTTTGTTTTTAAGTGATACTCAGTGCCCTTTATACACATCAACATGCGGCAGAGTATTGTCACCAGATGGAATCATTTGGATTCATTACTAAAAGCTGCTTCATGAGGCTGAGCTAGTTCAGAGAGGAACCAGGGCCCCAGCTATAAGGGGAGGGCCTGACCAGTGTTGACTAAATGCCACACCTCTCACCTCTGCTGACTTACTGACATAATATGATCCGTAGCATGGCAGAAGCACTGTCACCCACAACACACGGGGCACAGAGGTTCAGACAAGTTAGGAAATATTTGATCAAGTACCCAAAACAAGGCACAGGGGATTCTTGGCTCTAAAATCCAGGTACTGGCTGTTACATTACACTGGACTTTGAATTGGAGGACCTGTGATGGAATTGTGGTTCTGCCACTCACCACCTGGGTGGCCTTGGGAGTGCCACTTAATCTTTCCAAGGCTCCAATTTCCTCCACCTAAAGGGAGATTGGACCACTAGGTGATGGCCGTCTGTGCCCGTCACTGCTAGTCTATGCAGCCCTCTAGTGGTGCTTTGCAGGTCACGGAGTGGTGCCTTACCTTTCATCACCACAGTCACAAAGGGCTGATGCAGACTCCCAGGACTCCTGGGAGTCAGACACCCTGTTGATATTCACTTATGACCAAGATAAATGGGGTTCAGAGGAGCCTTAAAGATAGAGATGAACAGCCTGGTTCCCAGAAGACATTATTGTTTTTAAAACTTTTGGTCCTATTGGTTCTATGCTGCACCTAGAATTCTCACTCTTGAATGATAAAGAATGAAAACCTCAAATATGGATTGAAATTTTAAGTTTAAAATAATTTATGGAATAGATATACTCCTGACCTTGTTTGCAGTCCGCTGACTCTAATATCATCAGGCACATGCTATCATCTCTACGTTGTTGTTCTGGGAGCCCTATTTGGATCCTTTCTTTCACTCATATTCCCACATCTAGTTCTTCAATAAACCCTTCATCTCTACCTACAAGGTAAATCTCAAAGTTGACATTTCTCCCATCTTCACTGTCTGCTGCAGCACATCACCCCCTTGACACCTAGACGACAGCCATGGCCTCTTAATTGGTCTTTGGTGTCCACTCTTCCCCTTCTAATCCATCCTCCACAGTGATCACTCAGAAGAGATGAGCAGATTGTATCACCCCCTTGCTTAAGTTCCTCTAGTGGTTTTGCCTTCCGTACACGGTCAGATCCAAATGCCTTACCATGGCCTACCAGGCACTTGCCGGTCCCACCCTGCCACTCTTGCCAGCCTCCTTTTCATCTGATTGCTCCTCACTCACCTCACGTTGCTCTGGCCACCCTGGCCTTCCCTCTTCCCTGAGATTCCAAAGTCCTTCTCGTCTCAGGACCTCCCTGTTCTTTTTTATTAACTACTTTTATTTTTGGTTGCACAGGTCTTTGTTGCTGTGAACGGGGTTTCTCTAGTTGTGGCAAGTGGGAGTGACTCTTCATTGCAGTAAATGGGCTGCTCATTATGGCGGCTTCTCTTGCTGCGAAGCGCAGGCTCTAGACACACAGGCTTCAGTAGCTGCAGCACATGAGCTCAGTAGTTAATCGCCCATGAGCTCATGGGCTCTAGAGTGCAGGTTCAATAGCTGTGGGGCAAGGGTTTAGTTGCCCCACAGCATATGGATTCTTCCTAGACCAGGGATTGAACCCATGACCCCTACACTGGCAGGTGGATTCTTATCTACTGTACCAGCAGGGGAAGTCCTCAGGATTGATTCTGACCTTTCTGCCTGAAATGCTTTTCTCTTAGAGCTTGGCCTGTCTTCCTCTTTTTCATTACCAGTATCACCTCCTCTTGCAATCGTGACTCCTCTAAGGGGCCATCCCTAGTCTAACTGGAGTAGTACCATAGTCACACTGCTATTTTTAACATACTTTTCTAGCCCTTACTCATGTATGATATTATTTATTTGTTTAGGAGTTATCAGAACCCTTCACCATAGAATATAACCTGCTTTAGGGCAGAAAATGTATTTCTCTTGTTTATTGCTGATTCCCCGGAGCCTTGAATTGTACCTGAAACATGCTTTTGTCATCCAGAAGAAAACATTTTTCTGATCATGGCACTTTGGTTGCATTCTCTAGTCTTAGTTGAACACAGTGCTCAAGAAAACCTGTAGGTATGATTTATTTCCCCCTCTCATGGGTGGGGGTATAAAGAAACAGAATGCAAATAAATGCTGTTTTGGGCCAGCAGAGATGGAGGCAATGAAAGTATATATATGTGTTGGGTGGTGAGTGCGTGTGTATTGACATGTGCCTGCATGTGTGTTGGAGAGCAGGATTTCATTTTATAGTTGAGCATGGTAAATGATTTTCAGTTGCATTTTCTACAATTCTGAGCCCAACTTAGTGGAAATAAAGCAGCAGGTGGCAGCAGGAGAGTATTACTACATTTTCTTAGCACTTAAAAGCACTTTTCCAGTGGATGAGAGGCTTTACAAAATGGACAATTAGACACAGCCCCTGCACAAAGAGCTTGCAATCTATAGATGGATTGGTTGTCATTATATAAAAGTCTGTATCTTCAATACCAAAAACACATGTGCTGAATGTCCTTCTTTGCAAGATGTTAGGCAAAGGCTGCAGAGTCTTCAACTCGGGTGACCTTGCATTGTGGAGATTACAGTAGAAAACAAAAAATAAAGGAAATATAGATGGTTGCATGAGCCCTGAACAAGTTAAGAAGTGATCATGTATTGCAATTATTTGCCTATTTGTTTTACAGTTTATTGTTTCCTCCTTCAGACTAAAAGTCCCTTGAGGGCAGGGACTTTTTTCTTTTTTATTCTTGAGGGCAGGTCTTTTGTATCTTGGAATCCTGAAACACTTAGCAAAGAGCCTATCACAAAAATGAAGCTTAATGAATGTTTGTTGAAAGCACGAAAAGAAGAGTTTAAAAAAACAAGACAGAAAAAAAGCCCCAGTATATGTTACTATGTATAAAGAAATTAGGAGCATGTCTTGTATAAAATATTTGAGTTGCATGCTCTTAATCCTAGTTTATGGTCATATTCATCTTTCTTCCTTTTCTGCTCTTCAAGAAAAGTTAAGAATCCTTCCATGCCTCACTTCAGTGGAATATTAGCCATTGAGAGCTCTTTAGACCAAGAAATCTGATTGAATGGGTAAGCTTACTATTCAGAGAAAACTCTTAAGACATATTCCCATTAAGTTGATTAACGTTGCCCACTATTTTTATAGCTGAAAAGCATCTCTGTGGACCTAGAGACCATGTTCTGTGTTTTATAATCTCCAACATCTTAGGCTCTGTATTATCACCCAAGCAACGAAAGGCAAGAGCCATGTCTTACAACTCAGTGCCAGAGATTCTCTTGAGATGAAGAGAAGCTCACCATGCCACCAAGCTTTTCCATGCCAGGTCACCGCCCCTGCCCCACAACAGAGGGGGCCCGGAGCAATTTCTCCCTCCTAGGGTGGCAGGATGGTGGGATGGGAAGAAGACTAGTAGGCACCAGAAAGTGGAAAGGCAGAAAGGAAGAGCAGCCCAGGCCAGAGCCAGCTGTGGCATAGGGCCAGGGAGGAGGGGAGCTCTGTGGAGAAGGGACTTGCAGTGTCTTAGGCAGGTTAAAACAGGGGGACCAGTTTTCTCCAGGTCAGACTAGCTGAGCCTGCGCATGCAAGTTAGATCTCAGATTAGGTTAGGGTTATGTTGGAGTTCCTTCCTAAGCATAAATTCTAAGGAGAAATCATTCTTATATATCTTCTCTGTATATCAAATCCAGTAACTGCTTCTAGTCCAGGGATTTCTGAATCTTTATTTCCTTTAACAGAGGGAAAGTCTTTCCTTCTACACTGATAGATTAAAAGTTTTAAATGGAAGCAGCACATTTGTGTGAATGAATGTCAACGTATACCTGATAGTCAGCTCCTTTCCTGTTTTGTTTGAGGGGAGGGGAGAAAACCATAGAAAAGTAGGTGCTGGAGACCAGCCAAGGGCTGTTTGTTTTTTTTTCCCCCCTTCATTCTCATGCAGAGAAGAGAAGCTGCCGGACCAACTTTACAAAGATCCATATAGGCATTTTAGCAGCTTCTAATCTCTTTTTCCCATGATCTGTTCCATGTTTATGATAACCTCTAAAAAATAATATAAATGTACTCTGAATTATAGATGACTATATTAAAGACTGAATATGGCCTCCTATTTTTGGTGTCCCAGTTTGTGTCTGTTTCTGATCATATTCCTGCCACATGAAGGACAAATAACATCTCCACCTCATCTGTAGATGAAAGTTTTGTACTGGTTCAAGAAAGTGAAACTGCTGGGAGAATTGTCATCACTATTGTGTGACAGAGAATAGAAATGTCAAACTTGAAAGAATCTGTGCATGTCAGTGAATACAGCATGTGTATGGTACAATATTTTAAGTGTTTTACTTGTATTCTTTGTTCATACCAACATGCTGCGATTCAACAGGAAGAAATAAATGTGCAATAAGTAATTTTTTGCTTAAAAGATTTTTTAAAAATTACAATGTTTTATTTGGAAGGGGTGTACCCTTAAATTGAGTCACTCACCCATCAGAAAGGAAAGAATCTGCCTGCAAGGCGGGAGGACTGGGTTTGATCCCTGGGTTGGGATGATCCCTTGGAGAAGGGAACAACTACCCACTCCAGTATTCTGGCTTGGAGAATTCCATGGACAGAGGAGCCTGGCAGGCTACAGTCCATGGGGTTGCAAAGAGTCAGACATGACTGAGTGACTTTCACTTCATTTTACCCAAAAACAAATTTGTGGTTAAATGAGCTCCTTTTTTTTTTAAATTTCAGCAATGATATGACAATGATTTAAATGCACATCCATTGTGCACACAATTGAAAGAATCAAGTCAATAATATGTTACTTTTTTTTTTTTTGAAATTATCATACTTGCTGCCACTGGAGGTGGAACTCACAAGAATGGTACACAAGGAAACATTCAGGTTTAATAGAAATGTGGTATATATTGATTTTCGTGATTACACAAGTAGATACATTTGTCAAAATTCATGAAGCTGTAAACATGAGATTTATGCATGTGCTTGCATGCAAATTACATCTCAATAAGGAACTGTTAACATACAAAATTGCTGCCCATACACAACCTGGTGGTTCTGGACTCACTAATGGGTTATCACCTTCAGTTTGATAAGCACTAGTTCACAAGACCTTCAGGGTTGGGAAGATGACCCCAAGTGTCTAATGTAATCCTCCAATCCTTAGAAAATTCCTCTGTCTACAAGTTTATAGAAAATTTTAGAGAGGAACTCAATAAAAATTTCAAAAGTGACTGTTCTCCCTTTCACTTATTTCACATTGCTCGACACCTGCAGTGTGGTAGGCACTGAAAAGGCAAAGTGGACTTGCTGTAAACAAAGTCCATGCCTTCTGGGAGCTTTTATTCTAGTGGAAGAGATTCAGGCATTTCTGTCTTAGAACATTTGGTTCCCTCCAGATCGGATCCATCCTTCCCACACCTCTCATCCGTGTAGTTATCTGCTAAATGTGAAGGTTATGAGTGAAGCTCTCTGTCTCTACACTCATGAGACTTCTCTGCTGTGTGGTCACCCAACCACCATGACACTTTGCAAGTTCTCAAGGAGATAAATGTTTTGTTTTCTATGACAGGACTATTTCAGCACGCATGTGAGATATTAACACATGCAATTTTATAAAGATTCTCTGCTGTATGTATTCTCTGCTGAGGCAAAGTCCTTGTCACCCTCATCCCCAGCATGGAGTCGCTGATGAATGGTAAGATTGGAGCTCCAACTGAAGACCTTACCACACTCCTCACACTTATATGGTTTCTCTCCAGTGTGAACCCTCTGGTGGGCTTGAAGGTATGATCTCTGTCTGAAGCGCTTACCGCACACATCACATTGGTGTGGTTTCTCTTCTGTGTGGACTCCACGGTGAGCCAGAAATTTTGAGGCCCGACAGAAGCCTTTCCCACATTCCTCATAGTGGTAGGGTTTCTCTCCAGTATGGCACCTCTGATGGGCCTGCAGCTGTGAGCCCACACTGAAGCCTTTCCCACACACTGCACACTGATATGGTTTCTCTCCAGTGTGGACTCTCTGATGCACTTGAAGGCTTGAGAACTGACTGACGGCCTTCCCACACATCTCACATTTATGGGGCTTCTCTCCTGTGTGGATTCTAGAATGAACGTTAAGATGTGAATTCCGGCTGAAGCCCTTCCCACATGTACCACATTTGTACGGTTTTTCTCCAGTGTGGCCTCTCTGATGGGCCAGAATATGCGAGGCCTGCCTGAAACCTTTCCCACACTCCTCACATTTGTAAGGTCTCTCTCCTGTATGGATTCTAAAGTGAATGTTAAGATCTGAGCCACGACTAAAGCCCTTTCCGCATGCATCGCATTGATAGGGTTTCTCACCACTATGGCCTCTCTGATGGTCCAGAAGACTTGAGGCCCAGCCGAAGCCTTTCCCACACTTCTCACATTTATAGGGCTTCTCTCCTGTGTGGATTCCACAATGAACATTAAGATCTTCACATTGATAAGGTTTCTTTTCCGTGTGAACTCTCTGATGGACATGGAGATAGGAGCGCTTACTGAAGCCCAGCCCACATTCCTCACATTTATAGGGTTTCTCCAATGGGTGGGCTATCAGAGGAGCCTGAAAATGTGAGATTTTTCTGATGTTCCTCCCACACTCCTCTAATCTGTGTGGATTCTCTCCAGTGGGGACTCTTTGATGTTGATGAAGATATGACCTCTGACTAAAACCTGTATGTGACGTCTCATGATTATTCAGTTTTGCTCTACTGTGGACTCTCTGATGGGCTTGAAGACTTGAAAACCGACGGAAGGTGTTTTCACATTTTTCACATTTATAGGGCTTCTCTCCTGTGGAGGCTGTCTGGTTCATTTGAAGGTGAGAGCCCCATATGAAATCCTTCCCACACTCCACCCCTTCATAGGGTTTTCCTCCAGTGTAGTCTCTGCACTGAACTTGAAGATGTGAACTCTGAGTGAAGTCTTTACTGAACTCATCTTTATAGAGTGTGTCATTTTGTTTTTCCAATTGAGAACCTATTCCTTGAATAATTTCCATGGAATCTCGACACCTGGTTAATTCCTCTGTAACTTGTAGCCAGATTTTTGAGAGAAAAACTCTTCGTGGGGCAGATACATTAATCCAACTTCTCCAAGAGTCTCTATGGCATTTAGATTCTGATTTCCTGAGGAACAACAGCTCTGGGCTGCTGTCTTTATCATTTGCAGCTTTTCTTCTCTTTCTAACTGGGATGGTACATCTGGTGTGAAGGATTGATGACCCACTGAGAGCAGGTTCCGGAAGTTCTCCAGCATCACTTCCTGGTACAGCTTTCTCTGGGCCAAGTCCAGCAGCCCCATCTCCTCCTCTGTGAAGACCACAGCCACATCGTTGAAGGTCACTGCCTCCTTGAACTTGGACATTTTGTCCTCCTCCTTGGGAATTGCTGAGTCTTAGGAAGACCTGTGAAGAATCTAGTGTCGTACAAGTGGTGTGACGCTGGTCTGATCACCTCCACCTCTGTGCCTCTCCTCAGCTGGCATTTTAGAAAGTTCTCAATAAATGATGATGATCACGACTGTTGTTCCCACGTAACAGACGAGAAAGCCGAGGCTCGGTGAGGTCCAGAGGCAGGAGGAACCTGAATCCACTCTCACAAAGGAGCTAGTCTTCTAGATCTTGTATCTCTGCTGCTTCTACCCGAGAGAATCCAAGTCCCAATATGTTACATTTTTATCAATAAACTCTGCATTGGTGATTTTGCTTAAACAAAATAGTACTACATGTCACATTAACTTAATGAGGTCAATCTGAATTTTATTGGTGTGCCTATATTTAATTTGTAAATTGATTTGGTTTTATGGTTGCTTATATAAGAGCTGTATGTATAAGGAGTGGAGTTTATGTTTAGTTTCAAGATTGTACCTGTTTACATTTTATCCCTTTTTACCTGTTTTACCCCTTTCCCACCCATTTCCTCTGCCCCTTCTCTCTGGTGGCCACTATGCTATTCTCTCTCTGTGTCTTGCTTTGTTTATCAGTTTGTTTTTTCTGTTCCACATATGAGTGAAATCTTGTGGTATTTGTCTTTCTCAATCTCAATCAGCTAATTATTTTTGGAAGTGAATGTTATACTTTATGGCATTTATAAAATAAATGTTATACTTTATCATACAGATAATTTAACACTTATTCCACTTGAATCACATATCTTTCAATATGGTTCTTTTCAGTTTTATTAGCCATTAACAGCAAATATCTAAAATTTAGATCTTAGAGACAGTATGTCAGAAAGTATTAAATCAAAAATTTCCAAATCAGAACAGACTTGTGGTTGCCAAGGGGGAACTGGGTTTGGAGAGGGATGGACTGGGAGGTTGGGGTTAGCAGATGCAAACCATTATATATAGAATGCATAAACAACAAGGTCTCACTATATAGCACAGGGAACTCTATTCAAGATCCCATGATAAACCATAATGGAAAAGAATATGAAAAAGTTTATTCAGATATGTGTGTGTGTGTGTGTATGAATCAATCACTTTGCTATACACAGAAACTAATAAAACATTGTAAATCAACTATACTTCAGCAAAATAATTATTTTAAGTCTCTAAATCAATGAGGCATATTCAATGATATTGCTGCACTAAAAATAACTCATTATTGTAAATTTTATAAATATTTGAGAGTGAGCATGAAGGCTTTTGCTCTTAGTACTTAAAAAACTATTCAAAAGGTTTAATTTTAAAAACTTTTGATGTTGGAGTATAGGTATCCATCAGCTAATTTTTAATGCTTTCAGTTTCTCTCTTCCTATTCACTCATAAGCTCACTCCAATCATTTTTCTACCCAACTATTCTATCAAACCTTTCTCTTGTCAAGATCACCAGTGACTTTCACGTGGCTGGACTCAATGGGCACATCTCAGTCTTCATCTCCTTTGACCTGTCTGCAGCATCTGACATTACTGATCATTTTTTCCTCCTAGAAACACTTTGCACACTTGGTTTCATGGTCAACACACTTTTAGTTCTCTTTCTATCTCACTGGCTGCTCCTTCTCAATTACTTTGGCTCATTCCTCCTCTCCCTCCAAGCCTCCTAAATTTGGCACACTTCAAAGTTCAGGTTTCGTACAACTACTCTTCTAACTCCCCTGGTATATCATCTAGGCTTTTTAAAAAAATTAGGTGTAATTTATATATAACATTACCTAGTGTTACAGTTTTAAAATTTCACCCAAATGCGGTTGGATTTCTATAGCCCAGGCTATAGAAAAAAAAAAGTATATGTTACTATGTGCGTTTTTTTTTTTTTTTTCCTCCCTCTCATTTGGCTATAGCCCAGGCCTTTCTCTTGAGCTTCAAGATTTTATACCCAAATGCACTTATTATCTGTGCACAAGTGTCACAAACATAACAAAGCTGAGCATCAGACCTTAATGTGGTAAATGTTGTTCTGCACTGCCCACATCCCCCTTCAGGACCGAGGCCCACAGAAAGGTCCCTATGAGAATTGCTCTCTGCTGAAAGGAGCTGTCTTGCCTATGTAACACCCTTATTGGGGGTAGCTCCCATCCAGCACCTGAGAGGCCTGGTCCCCTCGCCTCAACTGGAGACAAGGCTTATGAGTCTTTCCAGCTCCACATGGATCAACTGGAACCTCTGTCAAAGCTGGATCATAGCAGCTTCTCTGTCTGCCCATTTCTACTTCTCTCTTTCTCTTTACCAGGCATGTTCCAGAAAGCAGTCTTGGGCACAGTAATCTGTCTCACATCTGTTTCCTGGGGAACATGCCTCAGATCGTGAATACTGAGAACGGTTCTTATATATTGATAATTGCCTTAAATGTAAATGGATTTTGGTTGGTACATTTAATCCATTTACATGTCTGCACTTCCACTTACCACATCACTCCGCATGATCCTCCAATTGTATGTAATCATTTTATATCGTCAGGTTAATCATCTTCCCGTTATGACTTGCAGTTGTACTGCTGTATAAGTACCGCGCGCTAACCGATTGCGCCACTGGAGCTCTTGACTTGCAGTTGTAATGATCTTTTATTTATTTATTTTTTTGTCTAGCTATTGATTATGAAACTGATAAACATCTTTTATTATTGTGATTATGTAACTATTATGTAACTCACTCATGATTGGTCAACAGAAAAATAATAGAATTCCATATCACCCAAACTACCATTTAATAGAAAAACCTGCAATCACTTAAAAAAATCCAGATGCATATCAGAATCATCTTGGAGATTTTTGAAAAATATAAATGCCCAGGTTTTGCTTTTTCCCTCCAGAGCTCCAGATATGTTTCCAATGAGCAGCCATGTTTAAAAACAACTGGACTCTATGAGAATGGTCCTAGGGAACAGAATTTTAAAAAAGCGTTTTGGAACTGGATCACCAGCCTATTGACTGGAAATGAAAGCCTCATCACTAGCAGTGGGTGGGATACTCATAGTTCTTGGTTTTCTGTTGTGTTTTTAAAATGATGTAGTGTCTTATTATCATCAATTTTTCTATTAACGATTGAGAGGGGTGTTGATATCTCTACTACAATATTAGATTTATATGTTTATCCATTCAGTTCTTTCATTTTTTTCATGTTCTGCTTTTAAGTACATGCACATGTAGGCTTGGTATAGCTTCTTGGGAATTAACCTTTTTGTCATTATAAATAATCTTGGCTGTATATTTTATCCTGAGTAAGAATTTTATTTCTTTGTATACTTTGCTTCACTTTGGTTAGGTCAGCAATCTATATATGTGTGTTCTCAATTATTCAGTTATTTCCAACCCTTTGCGACCCTATGGACTGCAGCCCGTATGAGTCAATAAACTTTGTTTTCGGTCTCAACCATATTTGCAATAGGTTTCTTTTCTCCTCCCTTGTTCAGGACCCCATTTAGTTATATCTTTTCTGAAGCTTCTGAAGACAAAATTTGTTATTACCTCTGGCAATCATACTGAGCATGGAATCCATTGAGCACATATTACATGCATTCTAATTTTATTGAGCATGATTGCATGTATTTTTTTTACTTGTAGATTGGTTGCTCTTGGGTTAGTCATCAGTTGTCCAAAATAGGTAGAAGTTGGGATCATGTGATATAATATGACTGTCCAGGGATATTCCTTGATTAGGGCCTCTGGTACCACTCCCTTGATGAAAAGTAGAGAACATATACACCATTGATGACAAAATGTAAGGTAAGCCTGAAATATAAGATAATCCTCCTGATATTTTTAAGGTTTATCCCTGTTGTTGCATATATCTCTGGTTCATATTTTGTTTAATGTTGCATTGTATGAATATACTGTAATTTATCCATTTTCTATAGATATACATATGGAACCCTATTGCTTTTCAAACTGATATTTAAAATGTTTCTTTATGCTGTCATCAGATAAAATTGTAAGGTCATGCTCCTGGGAAAATTACTAAGTCTATAAATTTCTCTTCCTCTTTCTTTCTCCCTTCCCTCCCTTTCTTTCTTTCCTTCCCTTCTTCTCATGATATCAGTCAGGATACCTCTTGAATATCCAAATAGTTTTATTTGTTTGATGTCATTTGAAGCTGATTAATCTTTCCCCATCAAAAATACACTTGGTAGTTCAAAATAAAATAATTAAGGGTATCCTGTAACATGAGAGACTTTGCAAATATCTTTTTTTCTAATTGAGTGTTGTAAGAAATAAAAATATATCCATAAAATACTTGTACACAAATATTTATAGTAGTTTATTCATAATAGACTCAACTGGAATTGATCCAAATTTCTATCAACAAAGTGAATGAATAAACATGTCATGGTATATTTCTAAAATGGAATACTAATTGTATTAGTATTTGTAAAATAGCAGTTATTGATGCACAGAATCTCAAAAATTTTGATCATATTTGGAAGATCCATATTTACATATCCACCTTCAATAGGTTGTGAAAGAAGGCATAAAGGGGAGTGGGTTGGGGTAAGGTGTAAGGCCTGGTTATATTAAAATGGAAATTACAGTCTCTTTGAGGTGGGAACATCTGAGATAAGATCTTAATGAGAATGAGAAAGGCTGGAGACAGAGGTAGGAAACTGATTATGTACAGTTCTACAACCTATGGAAAGAAATATACTTTAATAATCAATTTGATGGGGTATCATGTATATGTTTATTCTATATAAATATATATAAATTAATATTTTATTTATAAATTTATATCAACACACTATATATTTATAAATAAATATATTAAAATTAATACAAATTATGTATAGTTTACTTATTATATATTATGGCAATATATATTATATGTAGACTAAAACATAAATATATTTGTTATTAATTTATATATCATATAGTGGGATATAACATATATTACATCAGTTCAGTTGCTTAGTCGTGTCCAACTCTTGCGATCCCATGGACTGCACCACACCAGGCTTCCCTGTCCATCACCAACTCCTGGTGATGCCATCCAACCATCTCATCCTCTGTCGTCTCCTTCTCCTCCTGCCTTCAATCTTTCCCAGCATCAGGTTCTTTTCCACTGAGTAAGTTCTTTGCATCAGGGGACCAAAATATTGGAGTTTCAGCTTCAGCATCAGTCCTTCCAATAAATATTCAGGACTGATTTCCTTTAGGATTGACTGGTTGGATCTCCTTGCAGTCCAAGGGACTCTCAAGAGTCTTCTCCAACACCACAGTTC